CTCCGCTGCTGCTCGATTTCAGCCTCGTTAAGGGAGCAGCTCTGCACGACTTCTGACAGCAGCTCAACAGCTGGAAAACACAGATGTTGTTCACAACTAAGAGGAGAAATGCACATACTTTGTGCTAAGAAACAATGAAAGTTGGAATTTCTTCCCTTCATAGTAGAGAACCAAGTATAAGTGACTGATTTATTTTTATATTCTCATTCAATATTGTATCTCACTGTGATGTCTTGGCCATCACTGTATTATTAAAACTAGAGAACAATCTGTGTATTTTTTTTGCCTCTCACCTTTAGGCAGGTCTTTGGTCAGGGTCTTCATATAGTATGCAGTGTGCTCCCGGGAGGTGTAGGCGCTCAAGTGAGCACCCATAGACTCCACCTGCTGCTCAAGGGCTGTTTGTGGGTGCTTCTTGGTTCCCTGCAAAGAAGACAAAACACATTTATTGAAGGGGGGATGTAATTGCAACCTCTGTCATGTTGGATATATAAATTCTACTTTAACAAATAGCCCTGTAGGATAGCAAAGGTCATGAAGTTTACCTTGAAAGCCATGTGCTCCAGGAAAAAGCCTGCTCCATTATTCTTCTCACTCTCGTAGCGACTGCCTGCACTGATCCACAGTCCAACCTGTGACAAAGAAGAGATGGCATGTGCTGAATAAATATGCTGAGGTTTACATGAGTAAAAGTGTCTATCGTGTGCTTAAACAACTCCAACATGATTTCTGACGTGTTCTTACAGTGCATGTAGCATGTCCAGTCTCCTCAGACGCAACCCTCAAACCATTGTCCAGTGTAGTAAGACGGGTTTCAGGGGCTCCTAACAGACTCTGGGCATAGCTTACTGAGGCCTGTCCACGCCTCAAGGACAGCAGGATGGGCTGGAAAAGTTACAGATGCAAAACATTAAAACAATAAATTTTAAAATAGGACTCTGGAGAACCACTTTTATATTTTATTATACTACATAACATCCCAATATAAGAACACTTATACTACAGGTGAACCATCCCAATGATCTATCTGCAAGTTTAAAAGGACTCTCCTGCTAGCAGTGGCTTTTAATTAAAATTATCCATTTTGTTCTGTGTTTACAACTGATTACCTGGGAGGAAAGCATATTTTTTTCTGACTTTGTATGCGCTAATAGGTAATAAATAAAATTAAAAAATTCATCAGCACAATCTTTATCACCTGCAGAATAAGTGATCAAAAAGCGAAAGGCTAACCCCAAATCCCTCTAGAGCAGTGTCTTTTTAAGACAGTACAGCTGTAATGACATGTCAGGGGCTGTCACTAGTAAACAGAACTGTACTGTTATTACAAAATCTGGTAAAATCTTGGATTTATGCCACAAGTATAATCCAAACTGGGTGTTATTACGACGTTTTCATGTTATTTTCGAGTTGACGTAGTAGTTCTTATCCAGCTCTTCAGCCGCATCAATAACAGTCATCATATGTCTTTCCAAAGTCGTTACACTATCGGTGCTAGCCTCACTTGTCTTTGAGGGCAAGTGAGGATAAATAGCAAATGTTACCTCGTCAATGACCAAATTTAAGTAAAACGACAATAAGACTGCTTGAAAGATCTTTAATGAAGTGGACAAAGCGCTTTAGGTAGCTGTTATAAGATGTATTGATTCATAAGCCGATTGACCTTGCAATCAGTGATAGCTAACTAATGCTAACCGGTTACAGACTCTCCATAGCTGTACAGCGGATAGCACAGCTAGCTAGCTTCCTGGCTAGCACGTACCAGAACACGTTTAGTGTTGCGGAACATTCCGCCAATATATTCCACATTTTTTTAACAAAGTATTCTGTCCGACCTTTAAAGAGATACTTACTCTGTGGGTTTTGGCAAGGGCTCGACCCACAGTGCTCCCCACTCGGCATACGGACGCAGCCATTTCTTCGTACGGTTACAGAAGGCAGTCTCGGCTATTCGGTTGGTGCTAGATTGGATCTGTCGAAGGGACGACGCCGTGATTGGTTCTTACAGTGTGATGCAGGCGCCAGCACCTCTGCTGTTATTGGTTTAGACTTCGTTAGCCGAAGGAAAGCAGCCAATCACAACACAATAGAGTTCCCGCTGATCCAATCTAGTACAACCTAGGCGCGCTCATGTGTCTTCTTCGCGTGGACTTCCCTTACAGTACCGTTGAGCTGTGCATGATCGCCGCCACCTGTTCACTGTCGTTACTGACAGCTTCTCCATTCTGTTTATCTTCTGTTTGAGGAATTCATTAGCCAGTCACAATGTCAGCGATATTAAATAACACTAAGCCTTATTAGCTTTTTGCATTTTACTCCATCTCTGTTAGATCTCTGTTAGAAAGAGATTTCCGGTGGGAGTGTAGTGATCTCCGTTTTTCACAAAACCAGTTCTTTCAGTCTATCTCCTCCTGATCGCTGTTGGTATATTTTAACCCCTCAAACTTCTTTTCTGACCTTTTCATGATTATTTTGGGCTTTCCATATATAAAACTGTAATTAATGCAAAATCACCACTATAACGAAATCGTTTATATAGTTTCGACACTGTTATCTTATTAGATGTTACACATCTCTTCTGTTGTCAGACATTATTGAGTTACCATAGGGTGAGAGAAAGAAGACGAGGAGGTGGCAGAAACCCACTGTTGGTGTTTTTGAGCTACATCCTTTAATGGTATCTTAGGAAGAGACTTTACTTTTTCTGCTGAGGGACTCTTGTCTTTGATGGGGAACGGTGTTTTGGCACTGCATGGCTGGAGGACTTCAGGGGAGGAAGCGAGTAGGGGCATTTAACTCTGAATCCCTCAACACGTGGGTGTTGAGGGACATACTGAGGAACTTTCACAGCTGCCTAAAGATGAAAAATGACATCTGAAGTACTCCATCATTGTCTCCATTTAAATATACATAAAGCATAACAAAGGGAAAGCTGTTCCTGACCTTTTTATATATGAGCTGGAAGTCTCCTGTGTTTGCTGTGCGCTTAACTCTCCGATCCAGAACAACTCGTAAAGTGTCCTCCTGCACTGCAGCACAGAGATGGGCTGTCACAGGGGTTGATGGAGCCATGGTGGGACTAGAATTGATTTCTAATAACCACGGATGCAAGTCACGATCTGAAAAATGAACATGTTATAACATGTTAGTTGTTGATAATTATTCTGTTCTTATAGCAGTAAAAATATTTAAATGTTATTTAAATGAAATGAATGCAGAGAATGTAATGTGAAATACAGTGTGTCATGTATGGCGGGCCCATTGTACCTAGCATGAAATCAGCACCATAGAGCTCAAATGTGTTTTTGCGCGACTCTATCAGATCCTGTGCTGTCTGTAATGCATAGATGAGAGCTCTCTTCATTCCTGGGACTACTACAGTATCCCACTGAGCTTCCCGGTCCTTGGTGCACAGAAATGTCTTGAACTGGTCAACCGACCACATATTGTCTTCTGGAATGCTTCTGTGCCGCTGTAGCAAGGGCCTCAAGCGCTTCTGAATGGAGTTATTACACAAGTGCACGGAGCTTAAAAAATAAAAGACAAAACTGTTATTGGACAGAGGTAGAGTTTGTTAGGCTAGGATATAGAAGAGTGTTACAGGAGACACAAACTCAGGACATGCTTGTATATCAGCTGGTCATTTTGACTATGTCTACATGTCTAAGTACACTGAGTTGCTGCCATGTGATTGACTGTTTGCATTTTTGCATTAATGAGAAGTCAAACAAGTGGACCTAACAAATTGGCCGGTAAATATAGTTAACCAAATCCCACATGAGTTGCAACCTATTCTGAACTCTTTGAAGTTTGCAACAACTTAATCCCTCCTGACAAAACTCATATAATTTCTTTATATATTTCTAATACACAAATTCCGAGGATTCCCACGTTTCTTCCCCCTCAGCTCAATGGAAGCACTTACAGACCGTGCACTGTGGCTTGCTATTTGTTTGAAGTATGCGGAGGCAGATGTTAGAATTTGACTATACCCAGAGGAGAAAGTTAACAACTATTCAAATGATGCACAGATGGAAAATCAAATTTCCCGCCAAAAATGGCATGCAAAATAATGTTGCCCCTGTGCGGCCTTTCACTTCCTGTTTTTCTATTTTAATGTCAAACTGGTTTCATGTCTGCCCCTTTTTCTCATTTTCACCTCTTATGTTATTCATCTCACCTGTCCATTGAATCTAGCGTGTAAGGCTGTGTGGAAAAGCGTAAGTAGCACTTTTTATAGAACCACACGGTCAGAGGATTCCAGTCGGTGACCAGAAACCACTGGCGCACATCAAACTTGGTGTCATGGACAAGGAAGGGGTGCTCCAGGTACTTCTGTACCACCCATTTGTTTTCCTTGATAAGTTTTGGATCACCCTTCACCAGGTCGAGGATCTGGTCAAGACGATTAGCACATTTGATCCCTAGAAAGAAAGTAAAACAGGTCAACCATGACTTTGTCAGACAATCTGGGAAAGGCCTGATTGTGCATGGCCTCTCACCTCTGCCTCTGGACTTTGCTCCAGGTTTGATGATCCAGATGTTATGGATGCCTTCTATCTCCAGCTGGGGATTGACTATCTTCATCCTCTGCAGCATAGCCTTGCAGTGGATCACTAAATAATCACTGCTATCAATCTCTGCTCCACCACTGAGCAAGGAAGCACACAACAGAGTTGTACTTGACTGAGAAGAGCATGTTGGTTGGATAATTCTCTAACACGCACATGGTGATGCATACTCACTGCACAACTAGATAGTAACTGTCTAAAAACTCTGCCCACTCCTGTGCAGGTGTTTGCTGTGTTTCCAAGTTAGTGTCTATGTCACTGTGCTCCAGACTCTGCAGAAAGTCCTCGCAAACTTTGAGTGCCTTGTTGATCATTTGGGAAATATTCACTGGGCTAGACTGCCGTTTGCTTTGTTTCTTCTTACCTGAAGGAAAGAACAAAAAACACCGATCGCTCTCTCTTTTTTTTCTTTGAACAGAGTAATATACACTTATGTGAGAAAAGGTCATACCCTTAACAGCTTGTATGGTGTGACTTATTCTCTCTCCCTGAACATATTGGTCCTTCTCCACAATGTACTTCAGAAGACTGGTGCACGCAGTCCTCCTGTAGTCATCTGCACAGAGATCAGAGATGTCATGGTGTGCGGGGCAAGCCGTGTGGTGTTGTGAGAAAAGGACCCAAGATGCAGGCACTGGCTGAGATGCGAGTGAGCTTTATTTACAGAAGGTGAAAGCAAACAAAAGCGAGAATGGCGAGGACGGAACTAAGACATAACCTAAACTGGGGCAACTAATAAACAAACCTGAAACGATAACATGCAGGGAGAAACATGGGATGAGAAGCAGAGAGAGACGCAGAGAACACCCACTAACGGACGGACCGGCAACCAGCAAAGGTAACCCCTCACTATAAATATACACACAGAGGAACATGAAATGGCAAACCGAAGGGAGGCACAGCTGATCCTAATTAACAAGAAGAGACACAGACCTTCAAAGTAGAATATATAATCAATAATAATAATAATGATAATGTTAATAAACACAAAACGGTGGGTCACCTACCCAGCACCATGACAAGAGATGAGTAAAGCAGAAATAAAAACTGAAAAAAAAAAACATTACAAAGAGGTACAGTACAAGAGGTCAAGCTTGAAAAGACATAAAATTAGATCTAACCAATGAAGGCATGCCTCTCATCCAGTGCTGCTAGTCTGTAACAGCGGGGGAAGAAGGTGTCTGGGTCAGCCGAATCAAACCAGTGTAGTTTCCTCAGATTCAAACACAAGCCTGTCTGTAACGGGAAAGAGAAGTAATGATGGGGGGCACAGAGGTGGATCCTAAGGCTGTCTGAAATAACAACTGCAAATAAATGTACCTTGGTGGTCAAGTTGCATGCCTTTGAAAAATGATTAGTTATCTGTTCCTTATGCAGGTTTTTTGTGTTGATGGCCTTTCTGCGGTTTGTCCAGTAGAAGTAAACCATTTCATTCCACACCAGGCGAGACTACAGAAATGAGCAGAGGAAAGAGATGAGATCTGAATCTGGGATTGGCTGTAATTTTAATCAGTTTAACCAAGGTTAACAATGTATACTTCCTCAACATGAAAAGCTGGTCTTACCATGACATTGTGAAGTCTGACAGCATCTTTTTCAGCATCATTTGAGTTGTCTGAAAAGAACAACCAAATGTTGATAAAATGATGGTGTGTGCAGAGATACCCACGATTAGTCTTCTGAATCAGCCACGCTTCTAGCTCACCATCATCTCTATCACTACACACAGCATAATTCGAGCCGGTTCTGTTCCTACTGCTCTGATGGCGACGCACTCGATGCTTAGAGACTATACACCGTTCAACCCAGCCTCTAGCCCTCAGCCCTTCCCTGATGACAGGATACCTGCCCTGGATAGAGAACACCTTATGCATCTGAGAGGACAGAGAGCAGACAAACATACAATGGCTTCGCAATCCTGAAAACACATGAACGATTTGAACACATTCTGGAGTGCAGGCTTACCTTGACAGCTTTGTCTACGAGAACCCTGGCTTCTCTCAGTTTATCCAGGTCAAGAGCAGGCAGGATGACAAAAGTGACCTCAGGATGGGTAGCTGCCATGCACAACCATATAAACAATCACATTCCAGTCATTGAAAAGAATATATTGACTGCATTTATTGGCTGGACAATAATCCTAATACAAGATAACCTTTATTAGACCCAGAGGTGGGGAATTACTATTGTTACATCAGCAGAGTCGACCGGAGGGCTAAATAGATCCATCACAACCTAAAAACAATAACACTATGCAAAAAATATGTAACATAAAATATATATGAATAAATTTTTTTAAAAATTACAACACTAAGACCCAATTTAGAATTCCCAGCTGACCTAATGGTTGCCTGAGGAAGTTGGAGAACCCATGCAGACACAGGGAGAACATATACCTTACATGTAGAAATCCCCCCGGGACCTTCATGTTGCTCAGTTATGTAAACATGTACTTCTTTTCCTTTGCTTTGATTTTAGCCTAGGTTTTACCATATCAAGGTATTTGTTTGGGCACATTGCATTTTACTGAGCTACATGCCATTTACTATTTAAGCTATTTGATAAATTTTTGTTTTGTAAATCTTCATTTTAACTGATGTAGCAAATTATTCTCCTGAATTTGGGAAAATGATTCAGTAAGCTGATTTCTGAGATGCAGAGTGAATATACTTGTTTGCAGGTTGCTTTTGGCTTCCTCTTGGTCGTCTTTCTGTATCCCAGCATTCTCCATCTCGAACAAGCCTCTGATTCCCCCTGTGTAACACAAACAGTATCCCATGCAAACCCAATGCATAAAGGACACTAAACACAAGTGTTGTTGGCACATGATAGGTACAGCATAACAAAGACTAGGGTAGTAGTACCAGAGGCTAAAGGCTTAGTATCTTAAGTGAAGACCAAGGTCGTGAAACTTTAATGCACAGTTTTGGCATTCAAACACTTAGCCACCTGTCCTGAGTGTGACCTCATGATTAATTCTGCATTTGTGATCTACAAGCCATGTCTGTGAAGAAAGAGGCCAAGTTGTCTTGAGGTGTGAAAACATACTGTTCATGTTTCAGTTCAACAATGATGGCTTCCTCTGAAAGGATTTCCTCTATTAAAGTTATAATCTGTACATTTAACAATAAAATGGGGTAATAAAATTTAAATAAATGTAGGATTACTGGCACAAAACCTGGGAATCAACTGGGGAGCATCAGTTGATGTTGATGGAGCCAGAAAAAAAATACAACCCAGTGATTTCCAGTTGCATTTGCCTGCTCCTTGGAAAGTTCAGCCAGAGGCAGTATTTTCTTTTATAGTTTTGTGTCTCTCACCACTCTCTGGGCATGGAGCACAGTGTCCAGCAGTGGTCTGGTGTCCCTCCTGGTTCATGTGGACAGACCGATGAGACTCCATACTGACATTAGCTCTCATTCCTCAGGAGGATCATTGTGCTCTGCTTCATAGTTACACACAAAACGTGGACACGGTTTAATGCAGGGGTGGGCAATTAATTTGATACGCTTGATACACCTGTCAGGTTTGTGTCTAATGCCCCTGCAGGGTGTGATATGTCCTTTAGTTACCTTTTGAACGGAAGGCCAGAAGTGGAGCCAAAGATTTACACATATCAGTCTAGACACTAACAAGATATATATATATATATATATATATATATATATACACATACATATATGTAATTTATTTTCTTTCATGTTTGCCAGGAATCCGACACGATAATAAATCCAGTGAACTTTAGCATCTCAAAAACACAAACCACACCGTCTTGTCATTGCATCGTAGCTAACCACCGTAAACTCACATCAACTCACAAGCTGCTCTAATAAAACATGTCACCATCGCGTTTCTCCTCTCACCTGCTGAGACCCACAGGTGTCAGGAGCGCATGCTGAGCCTGAACCGTTACCTATTTACTGTTGCCTTGGCAACTCGTGGAAAGCCGCTAACATTTCCGTCTTTATCTATTTGCGATGTGAGCAATATTTATTTATTTGCTGTTTACTTATTTATTTGGGCGTTAACATTAGCTACTCCGCTTGGTTAGCGTGTTGATGGAAATCGCTTAACATTTTACGTTTATGCCAAATATTATTTTATGAAATGCAATATATGTTTAATTCTTCATTTTCATTCTTTGTTATTGTTAATTTTTACATTTTACCTGTTGCACTGGCATAAATAATTTCAGTGGTCTTAATTGCACAGTTGTATTGGTACTTTTTTGGAGGCACAAAGAAGAGCTAAGTACTTATTTCTAATTTAACATTGTAGCTATAATATAATATAATATAATATAATATAATATAATATAATATAATATTTGAATAATTATTTTATTTTTTATTTTATTCGTATAAAATATTCTCCGTACGGCCGCCATCTTGGCTCTGGCTAGATGGAAGCAGGGCCGGTGTACGTCACGGCGTGTACATCGCGCCCCCTTCACGGCTCTTGCACAGGAAAATCCCCGCCCTATATTCAAAAATACACCGAACTCTAACCCTCACCTCGGACACAAACTCAGAGGTTAAAAGTGGCTCAGATACAGTAAGTACAGCTTTTTCATGCACGTCAAATATACCACAACATTGGAAAAGTGGTGGAGCAAGTAGTCCTAAATAGTGTCAGTGGCTCGATAAAAAGTCAGGCTAACATGCTAACACGATATCTTTAATGTCGTTCTCAGGTGTTGGAAAAGTTCTGCTTCGTCTCATTTAAAATGTGTGGAAGAACAGCATGCACTCTTGCTCCTGACGAGCTGAAACGAGCCTGCTCTTACAGAAACCGAAGGGGGCAGAGGAGACAGCCCCGCTGGAGGGATGGAGACGCGGACAACTATCGACCCTCCTACAATAAGAACCCGCAGTCCATGAGTCCCGTCCTGCTGTCACGGAGGCATTTTGACAAGGTAATTATAACGTATACGGAAGCTAACATGTCAACAGTTTGTTATAGCTTAACTTATATTGGGGAAGCGCCCGGGGGAGGTGGAAGATTTGACGTTTTTAAGTGAAGTGGGGCTTTTGGTAGAGGACCCCAGGTGAAGTCAGTCACTGTCTAACCTCGTAATAAAACCTTATATATTTTATTACAGTTATAGAACTTAAAAACGTGATGTTAACATTTGCTAATGTATTTCTTGTGTCTGTTGACCGACTATGTATTAAATATTACAGGCTTCAAAAACATATTCTGTCCTTCTGGGTTTTTTGCATTGAATATTGTGTCCGTTTTTTGTCATCAGGATGCTCCTGTGGATAAGTGTGTGTTGGCCTCAATGCGGTGGGGTCTGGTACCCTCATGGTTTAAGGAGAGTGACCCCAGCAAGATGCAATACAGTACCAGCAATTGCCGCAGTGAGAATATATTGCAGAAGAAGTCCTACAAGGTGCTTTACCTAGTAGCAAGCGATGTTACATTTCCTGTGCATCACGTGCTGCTTTACTTGTCGGTTTTTGTTACATAGGAGTGTCTTAACCATTTTACCATCTCCCTATAGGACCCTATGTTGAAAGGACAGCGCTGCGTCATCCTAGCTGATGGTTTCTATGAGTGGCAAAAGGTTGAAAAAGGCAAGCAGCCTTTCTTCATCTACTTCCCTCAGACTCAGCCAGGACCCAGCCAGGAGGAAAGAAAGAACTCAGACTCTGAGTCAGTGCGCCCTCCAGCCAAAGCCTCCTCTGGTTTGATGAAGGTTTGCTTTGGGTTTTCTGTTGCAATATAAGCTCCACAAACATTTTTTTCATCTACTTCAAAAGTAGAGAGAATGCAGCTTAGGCGGATATTAAGTTTCCTGTGTGGGAGATGAGCCAAGACAAAAATGTGCATGTGTCCACCAGGTGTTTCTGTTGCATTGTTGAAATCCCCATTATACTCTGTATTTAACAGGGAGGAGAAGCTGCAGGTGAGTGGACAGGATGGAGGTTGCTAACTATGGCAGGAGTGTTTGACTGCTGGACACCACCAGGAGGTGGAGAACCCCTTTACTCATATAGTGTAATAACTGTGAATGCTTCCCCAAATCTGCAAAGCATCCATGATAGGTAAGAATCCCAGACCAGGAAACATGCTCTTAATTCGTGCTGTGTAAAATCATAAATCATTGTGACTGCTTTTTAGGATGCCAGCGATCCTTGATGGGGAGGAAGAGGTTAGGCAATGGCTGGATTTTGGGGAGGTGAAGTCTCTAGAAGCTCTCAAACTGCTCCAGTCAAAAAATATTTTGACTTTTCACCCCGTCTCTTCGTTTGTCAACAACACGCGCAACAACTCTCCAGAATGCCTCCAACCAGTGGATCTCAACAGCAAAAAGGTATCAGATATAATGATGCGGTTGGGAACTTTAGCCATTTTGTACTAACAAGAGCGGTTACAGCTGAGAAATTTGACTCTTTCACTCGTAGGAGCCAAAGTCCACAGCAAGCAGTAAGATGATGGCAAGCTGGCTGTCGAGCAGTTCACCTTCAAAGAGGAAGGAGTTCCACACAAGTGAAAGTAAAGAAGAGCAAGAAAGCAAGCCACAGAATCAGCGCAAGTCTGCAGGAGGACTTCAGCAGTGGCTTCAGGGAACCAACAAGAAACCAAGAACAAAGTAAATACATGAACTGAAAACTCGACAGTGTTTGAAAGACCATTCAGGCCTTACTTATTGTACTCTGCTGCTGTATAATTGTATAAGAAAAAGTTTTAACTTTTAAGAATTTTTTTTAACTTGTACTTATGAATACTTTAAATGTAATTCATTGTTCTACAACAATTTTAGAGTTCATCAATAAATGTCAGACACAATAATGCTTTATTCAAGGTTTTTTTATTACCCTTATTACTTGAAACAATGTAAATGCTAAGCATTATCATATTAATAATATAATAATGATGAATGCCAACACTCTTCCCCCCCCACATTTGTCCTTCAGAGTTACAGTATGTATGTCATCTTGTTTCAAAGTTTTAAAATAATACGAACAGACAGTTAAAGATCTGATCAGTTAAAAGAAATGTCAAGCACTTGAATCGTATGCCAACACGAGCATCTGGCAGAGTCAGATATGGAGATTTACAACACAACTTTATGTTTTCCCCACACAATGATTGAGAGGTCTGCAAATATACAAAGTTGCAACAGTTGACAATAAAAAGAAATGTACTAGCTAATAGTACTGGGTTATGAATGACAATTTGTACTCGAGAAAAATCTCTCCTCTAGGACTATCTGGTAGACTGACATGCTGTCTTGATTTGGTTCATGTCAAATGTTCTATCTGGAATTTTACAACCTTCATTTCCCCAACAGAGGAACAGCACTTGGACACAGGAACTGAGTCTGTATTCACACAATGTTCTCAACCTGAGCTACAATTGTGTTTATTGTGGCTCCAAAATGAGATGTTTCAGCAAGTTTTCAGTTACTGAAGATGAAAGCAAAAAAAAAAAAAAAGAATCTGTACACACTTGTCTAATGGACTTGTTATCGATCTGCATTTCCAATTCTGTACCAATTACTAAGAATCAGTAGGCAGTATGATGATATCATCTACACTTTTACACAGTATCCCTGTTTAAGTGTCAGAATTATGTTTTTTTAAAGATTTTTATGAGGTCAAGTGAAACCACATTAACAAGTGTTTCAGAGTGAAACTAACATAAGCCACAACACAAATGAGTAAGAAGGGGGAGCAGTGTTTCTACTATTCATGCAGCAGCAGTGGGCTGTGAAAGTAAGAAAACCACTAAAAAAAAGTTTAACTTAAATTAGAAATAGAAATACAAATAACTAAAGTAGTAATGCTTTGATTTCCCACTTGGACATATTCAAATAAAAACTGTTACAACCAAAACTGGGACTGAAAGCATTGATAAACATAGAACTCCAAGTGAGATCAGCCCATACCACCACTGCCATGAAAAAGTATGAGAAAACACTTGGAAGTCATAGGCTTAATACAAATAAATGTTGTATTGTTCCCTCGAGGTGTTCTTTGGGCTAGGAAATTTAGATTTTTATAGAAAATGTGTACTTTGTATACATAAGGAGGTGAGTGCAGCATGTTTGTGTATACTAGTATTCTCAATAAGTGGGATGCTGCTTGTATGTTGGGCAATAGGGAATAACATAGTGAGCCATGGGAAAGAGGATATATAGACAAGGCAAGACAGGGTAGTGAGGGCATGACAACCCTCTGAAGATCTTCAGAGTCCTCAGCAGCTGCAGGTCTCTGCTGACGGCTTGGCTCGCTCATTTCTGTCCAGTTTAATTGGCTCAGGGAACTCGTTGTACAACTCCACCTCGGTCTCCTGAAATCAAACAAGGTAACAGAGTCTTTGTGCAGCTCTACAGCTCAGTCTCCATGAAGTTGTGTGTCTAAAACTGCCCAACAGCTTTCCTGCTGACATCACCTTACCTGTTTAAGAGCATTGCGTGCAATAGTTTGGAAGGCCTGCTCCACATTGATTGCTTCCTTGGCGCTGGTTTCAAAATATGGGATGTTGTTCTTGCTCTGGCACCAAGCTTGTGCTCGCTTGGTTGTTACCTGAAACACAAAGAAGATGGTGAGGTTAAAAATATCTGGCAAAACACAAGTTATTCTTGTTTCATTAAACCATTCGTATGACAAATTACCAACACCTGTTTTGATAAAAGATGATGCATCACTTACATGATGTAACACATCTGGCACAGTTAAATTTGAACACACCTGTCTGTTTTCCAAGTCGATCTTGTTGCCCAGCACCACAAAGGGGAAGTTTTCAGGGTCTCGTGGGCTGGCCTGAATCAAGAACTCGTCCCTCCAGCTGTCTAGGGTCTTGAAGGTGTTGGGTGCAGTGACGTCAAACACCAGGACGCAGCAGTCTGCTCCACGGTAGAATGCCACACCTAAAGACTGGAACCTCTCCTGACCTGCTGTGTCCCAAATCTAAGAGACAAGAATCTTTATGCTTACAGGCCCCAAATAAACAGAAATTAAACAAACAAAAAAAAAACAACAACCCAACAACACTGGTTTGTATAGTTGAAATTAACCACATCTAACTTTTACCCCTAATTTGAGTTTTTCACTTTTTTTTGTAGTTTTTAAGAAATAAAAATGAGAAAAAAGTATAACTAGTTTAATTGCCTTTGTAGGTCAGACGGTCCCCTACATTGTCCAGTTTCAAAACTCATCTTAAAACGCATTTATACTTCCTGGCTTTTGACCCAGCATGAGCCATTGATCTTAGTTGTTTTAACTGATTTATAGTTGCCTATTTTTACTTCTTTTTTTATTGTTTTCAATGTACTTATTTATTTTTGTGTATAGCGCTTTGTGTCCGCTGCAGCTGTTTATAAAGTGCTTTATAAATAAAGTTGTCATGGTACATAAGACTTAACAATTCATTCAGTTTTTCAGTATTCTTGTGAGCATATTTTGGCAGTACCTGCATTGTGACAAGTCTGTCATCCACCATTACTTCTTTTGTCAGGAAATCAGCGCCTATTGTGGCTTTGTACTGGTTGCTGAACTTCTTATTCACATATTGATTCATCAACGAGGTCTTCCCAACTCTAGAACAAAAATTGCAGAACAATATTTAACACACATGAAGGGAAGAAACAAACGAAACAAAATCACCACAATGAACTCATTTGTAAAGCTTATAAATCCTACTTATTCCTACTGGTGTCTAATTTGAAGTGAGCCATTATTCAGACCCCTTTAGTATTGAAGCAGCTGCTCAGCATTACTTACCCCGAGTCTCCAAGGATGATGACTTTGAGTAATACTTTCTTCCTCGACGTCATTGTGCCACAGCCGCGAAGACAACAAACTTAATTAGAAGAGAAGAGAAGTAAGCACTAGAAAAGCTCAAATGAGACAAACGAGACTAAGACTAAGTGCACCAACTGCACCAACTGCTCCTGTACTTGTCTTTTCTTCACTTTGGAAACAAAGAAAACGGCTACACTGTACCACGAGGCTCAAAATATAACAATGCAATGTTGAGGCCGTTGATCTGAGCTGACATTTGGTTCTTTTTGTTATGCTGTAAAGTATTCATTTTGTTCTATTTATATAGCATATACACCATTCAATGGAATAAACTACATTGTTTCATTTTGAAGTGACCATTCTTGGAGGTTTATAAAAACAAGCGTCAAAAGAAATGGAAGCATGCCCAGTTACTCCAAATCCTAAAGGGTATGAATACATTTTGATGATGTCTTCTCGGAAATCTGCATTTATCCAAATACAAGGCAGGTATTGCACACCGTTTAGCTTCACAATTTAGTTCATAAGTCTTAATAAACAGTTCCCGTTTGTTAAATTTGAGGAAATGGGACAATGTATTATAGTTGTCAGCCATTTTCTATTCTCCCACCCCCCCACCCCACCCCCCCTCAAATGTAGTACATCCTGCTCTCATTGTTTAATCTCTGTTAAGGGGTGACACAAAATCCAAGAGCTGCAATAAACATCCCAGACCCTGCTGATCACAAGTCTAGTTCGTTTGTTTGTATGTGTATAACTAAAATCCAGATGTCAAATATCCTCATCCTTTGTGCCTGCTCAAGACATCACTGAGCATTTTCGACTTGGACCGAGTGTGCTACGTACTAATAACTACATTTCACTGCTGTAGTGACCAAAGTCCAAACTCAATTACAGAAAGGCTTTATCAGTCCAATCGGGATTTTTTTTTTTTTTTTTATCTTGGAGACAACATTACTGAAAGAAGGTACAGATCCTAATCACAGATTATGCTGCGTTTCACAGATCACCCCATTATGAGAACAAGTAGCCACGGCTCGAGGCAAAACTAGCATAGCGCTATGCGGCTCTCATAATCTGTGCCCCATGACACTGTGTCAGCGACTGATCACATGGTTAAAACACAGGACCAACGGAACCATGACTTGGCAAGCATGTTGAGCATAATAAGTACTTTAGCTGGCCTCGGTGCACCAAGGGGTAGGATCCATCGATAAGGACTCAACTGTAAATCCGGCTAACTGTAGTTATTTTCACTTTATACATTGTAAAACAATGTTGCACTTGCATTGAAGCAAACGGTCGTGAAGACTTTGAACGTATTTGCAAGGGGCTAGCTAGTCAGAAAAATTTTTCACATTTAAAACACCAAATGCTACATAGTTAATTGAGTAAATGCAACAAAAGGGTGAAGCTTGAAAACACTGTCACTAATAAATACAACATAATTTCAAAATAATGGGGGTTGGGGCGTTTTTCCTTTTCTTTTTTGGACAGTGTCGACTAGCTACCACATCTGTGACACTTCTGATTTTTTGCTAACGTTTCGTTAGCTACGCAAGCCTGATTGACCAATTTAAAACTTAGATAACGACATCTATACTCTTATCATATGCTATCACTAAAATAAACAATCAAAGTCACCACAAACCAACCTGGGCAGTGGTCCTTCAACAAACAGATGTCAAAAGTGGACTTTTCCTTTGCTTCGTCTGGAAGGCTAACGCACAGGCTAGCGAGCAAGCTAACGGCTCCTCCAAATGTCTGGCGTAACAAAACAACACGTACACAGCGTCGACAGCTAATTTATTTCTGACAGCGAGCCTCTCAAATGACCCTTTTTATCGAAATCAATACTGCCAGTGCCGAAGTTTAACTCCCTTCGTCTAACGATTTGGTAAAATGCTCTCTTGTCCAGTTCCCGTTGACGCTCGCTTTTCCTGTCGAGCTAACGTGCTAGCTTTTAGCGGAGCTATGTTCACTTCCTCCAAAACAAGAACCGTCATGAGCGCTGACGTCACGCGTTACCGTGACACACAGTTGCTAATGTTTGCCCATACTGTATATATAACATTATGGAAGGACTTCGACCTTTATATATGGAGTAAAATAAATAATCTTGACTACTCTTCAATGATGAAAGTAAGGTAACTTATTCTTATTACGAAATTCCACTATTTTATTTCGTTATGGAGTTTCTATAACTACGAAGCTAAAATTACATGTCGTATATGTTGTTGAAATCTATAACTTATAAGAATTGAAGTTGTTTTTGTCCAATGTCACCTCATCTTTTAAAGAGCTTCCATTAGTTCATCAGATTATTATTGTTATGATTATTGTTTGTTTTTTACTTAAGAATCTTTGTTAAAAGCTGAAACTTTTTTTTTTTTTAACAATTGTCAGTTTATCCAACGTACTTGACAAATAGGGAAACTTGGCAGAAAGGTTTTAACTTGAGGTAATACTCCATTCGCACTAAGTCAAAAGTCACTCCTGATCTGCCGAAACCCGGGATCGAACCAGGGACCTTTAGATCTTCAGTCTAACGCTCTCCCAACTGAGCTATTTCGGCTATATATGGGGTGGGAAAAGAAATACACACTGGCGACTGGCCAGGTGGTAGAACTGAAACATCTCAGATTGTTTATTTGAAATCCAGGATCAGTCATTGACCCTAGCTGGGGCAGAATTAAACATACACTATCTACCAATTGGTAGGTTGGTTCCCCAATCGCTGGCTCTTTCAATCTGTATTTCAAAGTGTCCTGAGGTAAGATATTGAACACAGAGCTGCCTCTGATGCATCCATTGGAGTGTATGTGTGAGTGTTAGACAATGTACAAAGGTATATTAAAGACTGCTTTGAGTGCTTAGTTAGATTAGAAAAGTGCTACAGGCTATGGGTATATATGAAATGAAGCTACATGTGGCAAATGATTGGCCTGTTCATTACTATCAATTCCTCCTGTGAGTTTCCTGCTACTTTTTCAACAAAGATTTTGAATTTACCAGTTAGAAAAAAACCAATCATCATCTCAATACAGGGAATTATAATCATTATACTGATATAAGTAACCCCGCCTCTCGCCCTATGACAGCTGGGATAGGCTCCAGCGCCCCCCGCGACCCTGAAAAGGATAAGCGGAAGCGAATGGATGGATGGATGATATAAGTAAATTTCTGGAGGAGATCATTGAAAATATTAGAATGAGTGTGAGGGAATGTACAAAGAAGTGAAAAAACTTGGGGTACAAAAAAACCCCTCACCACAACAAATAATGGGACACGGGAAAGAAATAAGTATTGTGTTAGTTTCTATTGGCTTGTACTGCATATAAAACACCAGGCCATGACCACAGGGTATTTAATATGTTATGCACCAGCACAAGCCTAAATACACCAACGACATTAGCCACTTACCTACCGCGAAGTTTAAATCACTCATTAGTTTGTGTTTCTACAACTCGCTTGCTGCTATTCTTCCTCTTTTCTCCTGAGGGATTTGATACATTATTTATCTGACCCATGTTTAGAATTTGCTGTATTAGCTGCCAAAACCCAGGATTGAACAAGGGTGCTTTTTTTTTTTGTGTATAGCACAGTAGTAACAAAATTTGAGAATGACCATAACCCTGTCCTGAGAATTGTGACTGTGGGTTCCCCAAAAAGACAAAAAATTTGCTGGTCTTTGAGGGATGATGGGAGAACCTCAACGAATGAAATGGTAAAACAGCACAGGAGTGATCATATGCACATGAAGCACATGAAGAAAAAAGATCATAGAGGTGAAGGATGATTTAAGAGATACTGCCTTGATGCAGACATGTGAGTTGATCAAGTGATGCATACAATGGTTAGCATTTTGATTTCATACAATATGAATTACAGGTTAAAAGCCGCATACCTCCATACCTCCGCAATTACTGTGACACAAACTAAACACAGTATAATATAGACATATTTGATGATGGCAAAGGCTTTAAAAGCCATCCCTAATTCTGCCGAAACCCGGGATCGAACCAGGGACCTTTAGATCTTCAGTCTAACGCTCTCCCAACTGAGCTATTTCGGCTATATATGTGTGTGGGAACTATATGGGGTTGGAATAACTAAAACGCTTAAGATTGCTTGACACTGAGAATCAGTCATTGACCCCAGCTTTATAAATTATATCTATTTATAAATTAATCCCTGCACAATTCTTTCTACGGTGGCCACTGTGTCTCTCTTGTGAGTGTAAGCTGTTAGTCTGCTGCTTACCTCAGCTGTCAATATATGTCCACATCTATTTATTCTAGAGGCTGTAAAACTTTGTGAAAGTAATCACAGTAATTGTAAAGTCAGTCAAGATAAATTAAATGGTAAATGCTGCTGTTTTTCTGCCGGTTGCCAGCATTAATGAAAACGATGTGAAAATGGAATCAAATTGTTTAGGTCACTTGAGCCGAATGTTACCTGGCATAATATCAGCTTATAACGAGCTGTTTAGCTAGCTCTTGTCAGACAGCTGATGAGAGCTAGCTAAACACAATAAGTAATTGTGTCAATATCTGGAATAAAGGAGTATGTTTAGTCCCATGTGTATTATATAATTCAGAAGATGCGGCTTGGGGTCAGGAGGAAGATGAGGACCTTTTACCAGAAGCTGGTCATGTTGTTTCTTTCCTTCATGTTTCACTTTTTTGTGAAGGTGGCCCCTTCTCAGATGATAAAATATAGGTATAATCCTTGAAGCTTCAGACATTAATTTAAAATTGCCTCCAAGGAACATAGATTAGATTAGATTAGATAAAACTTTAGTAATCCTTCGGGTGGGTTCCTCCGGGAAATTCTGTTTCCAATAGCACAGCACTGATAGAAGTTACAGAATGTGAGCAGAAATATACCATATATACACATATATAAATACAGAGATATATATAAATACAGAGTATACAAAAGGGATAAATAGAATAAATAGGAATAAGAATACAAGGGAATTGCACATTTCACATATTGAAGTCTATTGCACTGTTGGATATTAACAAAAAGTATTGCACAGTGAAAAGGCACTACAGCTTAGTTGTTTCCCCTCCCTCTCCCCTACAGAGAGGAGTTAAACAGTTTGATGGCGTGAGGGACAAAGGAGTTTTTAAGTCTGTTGGTTGATGGCGTGAGGGACAAAGGAGTTTTTAAGTCTGTTGGTTCTTGACTTTGGGAGAAGCAACCTGTCACTGAACAGACTCCTCTGGTTGTTTATGGCCGTGTGCAGAGGATGCCCAGCATTGTCCATAATGTCCAGCAGTTTCTTTAGTGTCCTTTTTTCTGCTACTGTCACCAGAGTGTCCAGCTTCATGCCGACCACAGAGCCAGCCTTCCTGATCAGTTTTTCCAGCCTGGATGAGTTCTTCTTTGCTGTGCTGCTCCCCCAGCACACCACAGCATAGAAGAGTACTCCAGCAACCACCGACTGGTAAAACATCCTCAGGAGCTTCCTGCAGATGTTAAAAGACCTCAGCCTCCTGAGGAAGTACAGTCGGCTTTGGGCTTTTTTATACAGGTGCTCTGTGTTGCATGACCAATCCACGTACATGAGTATGTACCAATTCTCTTCTCTTCTGCCTTTTGTAATTGGATTAAGACAGAATGGTATATTGATGATGGTGCGAAAACATGGTGGCTTCCAAAAAAACATCCACAGCTCTGTATATTTACTGAATTAATTGATTGTTGATTTAATGTATTCTAAGTGTATGAGAATGCATCAGTTTGTCGGAAGATGTATTACACAATAATCAATGCAGATTCATGAGTAATCATTGTTTGTTTTTTCTATTAAAGAACCCAAAGAGTTAATGACTGTACTTTCAAGACTCATTTTAAACTGAAAAACAGTCAATGGAGCAGACGTATATATATGCCCTCAGTGATACCACTAACTTTTTTTTCTGTATTAAAAGCTTATCTCAGAATCTCGGACAAACAATGCACTATGCAACCATTCAACAGTCTGTAGTAGCAACACAAATATATGAAAAAGCAAAAAAAAGAAGAAAAGCTAGTTGAGTATTGTAATTATTTTTGTAGTTGATTCCCCCTTCATCTTTTAACATTTTTAAAATCTTTTAACAAATGTAATACCAGATATGATGTAATTACTGTGATAGTGCGCTCAGTGTGCTGTAAAACCAAAAACCAATGTGGTAAGAGAAAAACTGTGGTAACACAACGGCGAGCTGTATCTTTAAAAAGTTTCCCCACTGTTGCCGAAACCCGGGATCGAACCAGGGACCTTTAGATCTTCAGTCTAACGCTCTCCCAACTGAGCTATTTCGGCTTGCTGTACTTCGTACAAACATGCTGATCTACGTCATCACAGCCAGAAATGGAAGTAACACAATAAGTTTGTTGTTACTCCAGTGATAAATTGAGACGACCACCATCATTATGTTTGACTTTTGCGCTGTAGAAAAAAACGACAAACTGTATGATTCCTTTAGTTTGCAAAACAGTTTTTGAAAGCCACGTTAATTGACGGCTTTTCTGTTTCGCAACGGCTTCCGACGCACTGCACGTTGCAAAAGTGCGCGTAGTGACGTCATCACGTCGTACTGAATGAGGCGTCATCCTTTCCGATGTAGAGCGGCACGGCGGCCTTTCTTTGCTGCTCTACATTTCTTCCTCTCTTAACTCAGTAACTACAGCATTTCAGCTCCTATCTTATTTTAACCATGACCCAAACCTCCCCGATGTTCACCGCCTACCTGCTGCTCCTGGCTGCTCTGGGTCCGCAGGTTTCAGCGGACGGTTTGGTAAACGAGGATGTGAAGAGGACAGTGGACCTGAGCACGCATCTGGCCAAGATCACTGCCGAAATCGTGCTGTCTAACCAGGGAAACTCGGCCGTGCACAGTTTCATACTCGCAGTGGAGGAGGGCCTGGCTCCGCATCTGGCATACATCGGAGCTTCGGTGAGCTAAACATCAGTGAATGAAACGGCGCTAACACCTCCGCCTGTAGC